AGTAATTAAGTAGGCAGACAAGAATTTGAAAAAGATATAATAAATGTCTCACAGAAATAAAGGAAGTTATTGATACCATTAAAAAGAAGAAAGTAATTATAATTTATTACCAAGTAGGAACATGATCTCACTCATGTGAAATCTAAATGAAAGGAATTTTTTCTGAGTGAAATAGGCAGGTTTAGGAAATTTTAGTAATTAAGGGGTCCATGGAAAAAGCACTGGACTACAGACCTGCAAAGGGTACATTTCCAAAAGACAAGGGAGTTGGGAGAGGCAACAGTTACATTTCCATAAGATGAGGGAACTGGGAGTAGCAAAAGATACACATTTACAGAATAAAGAGAAGGAGAAAGAAAGTCCAGAGGGAATAGGAGAACAATGAGGGAGGAGGGCCTCACACTTCCCATGTGAGGTTTTGACCTTTGAGCTCAGGAGTTACTATAGTGACCAAATCAAAGGGGAATATTGACCAATCAGAGGGGATATCAAGGCACAAAGAACTGCAACCTTTATAAACCATAGAAAAAGGAATTTGGTGGGACTCTTTTCCCCTCCCCACATGGAAGTCTGTGCTGTGGGATTCTCTCCTCCTCCCCACGTGGGAGTTTGTATTTGTTCTTCAATGATTTCCACCTTTACTATACCATCTTCCATCTATGGTTTCATTTTTTGACTCTGATGGACAAAGAGCCCAGGAAAAGCCATCTTGCCTAGGGAACACTGAGCATTCCAGTCCAAAATTCCCATATCATAAACTGATGAACAAAATAGATTCAGAGACATAGAAGCATGGAACAGATTGTCGAAGAAAAAATTAAATCTCAGAGTGAAGGCAAGGGTGGGTGGCTGGGTGGGAAGAGATTAATCCAAGAACTTATATGCATATATGCATAACCCATGACACAGACAATAGTGTGGTGAAGGCCTGAGGTGGGGAGAGGGCAGGCTAAAAGGGGTCAATGGGGAAGAGAAGGGGACACTGGTAATACTTTCAACAATAAAGATAAATTTAAAAAAAAGAAAAGAAAAAAAATTGAGATCAATACATACAATTAGTATCATGGTACACACAGATTAAGATCAATTTGAAGGGCTGGATATTACAATGATTTATCAAATAAATAAAAAAATTAAGTTTATAAGATATGATGCATTAAATAAGAAATATAAACACCTATGTAAATAGAAGTCCCTAGAAGAAGAGAGAAGATAAATCAAAGACTGATATATTATATTGAAGGAACAAGAATCATAGACTGAGGATGTTAATTGCATTTGAGTATGATACTTAATGCTGAACTTCCCGAGATGCAACTGATCATAAAGAATGTGATTGATCCTAAAGGAAGCACTCTGGTTCATCAGAGAACATACACGTGTCTTGTGTTATTACCAAAAGGATTTAGAGATAAGGAAAAGCAGTTAGGGAAGGGTCCATGGGAAAGGAATGCATATGTGATGGGTCAGAGATAGCTCCAAGCAGCCAGATGGTTTATCTTACATACACAGTGGACAGAAGAATGTAACAAGACTAGAGGCCCAGTGCACAAAATTCATGCATGGGTAGGGTCCCTAGTCCTGGCCAGCTATCAGGGCTGGTCAAGGCCTTCCTTCCCTGGCTGCCGGCTGCCGGCCAGGGCCTTCCTTTGTTCTGAACCACTCCCTGGTGGTCAGCACATGTCATAGCAAGTGGTCAAACTCCTGGTCGGTTGAACTCCTGAGCGGACATTTTGCATATTAGCCTTTTATTATATAGAATAAGGGGGAGAAGATGGGGGAAGCACCAGGTGAGCTTTGAAACTTTGATACCATGCAGGGAAAAGGAGGAAATTGGAAAAAACACAGGGGACATAAAATGAGGAAGGGTCCAATTAGAAAGTAGCACATATAGACAAAGCAGCTGCCAGCACAGAGAGACTTCACTGGTTATCCATCTGGGAATCCCTCCCATGTGGTAGTTTGTATACACTTGCAATAAATTTTCACATTTTTGCTTAAAATCCTTTGTCCATGAATTTTATTCTTCAAATTATGTAGGACAAGAACACAGATCCAGCTTGCCGTTCAGGGTAGCACTATCAATCTAGCTTCAACTGATTGGACCTCGATTGGCATCCATGTCAAAGGCAGTTTTCTATCTACTGGACATTGCTAGCACTTTATGAGATGCTCTGAAATGAGAATTTGATGCCTTGTGCTATGATATTACCTACTAACTCAATCAGATCAGCTCTTGGGGAGTTCTGTAGTAGAGGATTAAAAAAAATCAAAAAACCGAACAAAACCAAAAACTCCTAGGAAGTAAAACACATAAGAACCCAACAGCATGCTCTATATAGGAGAGGTGACCCACCTGACAATTAGAAGTGAAGGAAAACAACAAAATAGACAAACAGGAGGAGAGGCTTCATCATGAAAACAGTCAACTATGAGAATTGCTATTGAGTCACTAAAACTTGTGGAAAAGCTACATTACATTTTGATGTTGTGATACTTGGCACATGTAACTTTTTATGTAGCCTTATTTCCACATGGACCTTTACAATGAACTCTTTAACAAATAAGACAAACCAAAGACACTATGTGAGATTACCATCCTGCTCAGCACTGGTGCTGGTATAATAGAATTTGAGGCAAATAGGATTTAGTAAACTTGAAGCACATGGAATTATACCACTTAAGGTGCATTCTTGGTGAAACATTTTCATGTATGTTCTCTTGACATGTAAATATCCTACATAATCAATATATACATAGTTGAACCTGAGTATACCTTAATAGAAATGAATTCAATTTTATAAAACAAAAGGGGAAAAGATACATTAAATTCTAAATATTCCAATCCACACTGCATATTCTCTATATTCCCCCAAAACAGGAACATAGGCTGTTAGTTAACTAATAAAAACAACACATAGAGCTTTTATATGGATATGAAAGCCAAAATGCTCTAATTTACTTGGGAGGAGAGGCCATATAAGAAACCTTCTATATCCATAAATATTACCTGTGGAAAATCATTTGGTATTCATGTTATTCATATTCTAATTTGATTCTATATGATTTACAGAATTTATGTGGCTTTTATATAAAACACAGAATTTTAGAACTTAAACTTTCTGACATTTATTATTATTTTATAATTTTACTAATGAGCAAACTGAAGAAAAGGAGGTAAAAGAAGATGATCAAAAAGGTAGAAGATGGAAATAATGATTTAGTTAATCTATTTTAATAATTTACTTTTTATTTCACTTAGATTGATAGTAGACAAGAATGAGGAATGCAGTTTTGGAGAACTCAAAGTTAAACTATCCTATATAATAAAACCCTAATATTGCAAATCGACCACATGGCAGAACGACCTGCTGAATGACTGTTAACTATGACATGCACTGACCACCAGGGGGCAGACACTCAACTCAGGAGTTGCCCTGGTCCGGGCCAGCGAGTGGATGGTGTCAGGCCACCAGCCAAGGGGGGTGCCAGTGGGGGGCCCCCCAATCACCCCGCCAGTTGCCCCACAGACCGGCCCTGATCACCGGCCAGGCCTAGGGACCCTACCCTATATATTGGGAACAGTCTCTTAGATTTAAAAATTAAAACCTGGCAAGGCTACTCTAACACTGATAAAACAGGATGATGCAGAGATGACATGCATGGACTCGGGCTTGCACATTTTGTGGTCAGCCCTGATTCTGACACTTACAACTGTGTGACAAAGCCAATTACTTAACTTCTCCTGCTTCAGTTTTTCCACCCATTAAGAGGGGGAAAATGGTACTACCGCCTCAGAAGGATAATGTTATGTACTACTTTTTATAATCAGGGCAAAAAAATGTACCTGTTGTTACACCAGCAAGATGCCTTTCACCTGTATGTAAAGTATGGTCACTGGTGCATGCAGTGTCCTGGATTGCAAGAGGGATATCTGACTGCTGGTTTAGGCCTGATATCCCGCGAAGGGTCCCGGATTGTGAGAGGGCGCAGGCAGGGCTGAGGGAACCCCCCCCACACCCCCAAAAGCATGATTTCATGCACCGGTCTTTAGTCATTAATATTTGTTTTTGAAATGCTCTCTAATTTTGCTTGTCTATTAATGTCTAAATCAGTGGATTTGCAATTAAACCCTGATATCTTTCTAATGTGTATATTCAAAGTATATGAAAGACACTTAGTTAACTCTCTGTCATAAAAAAAGTAATTTGCATTTCATACAATTCCCATGATACAAAGTGCAAATTCAATAACTGTTAGTCTTTATTAAATTCCCCTTTTTCAAATATTTGTATGGGACTTAACAATTATCATTGTTAGATTTTTTATCTACTTAATGACCTTGAATTGGTAGTGAATTAGGAAACTAAGACTCATAATTTAAGTTCTGGCCCAAAAACATGTCAATATTAAATAGTAGGTTCAAGACAAGACTCACAACCAGATCTTCTGATATAAGTGTAGTTCTCCCATCTTCAGGTTACTCCACAGTAAAGATCAAGTGAATCCTATCATATTGACCCTTGGTAACAGCTGAGGAGTCACTTTTTCTCTAAAACTATATTTCCTTCTCCCCATGGATTTTCCAAGATGGAAATAATGCAAATATATAACTAGACCTGTTTATCCAGTAATGTGGAATGAGTCATCTTAATCCACATTAACTGTTTCTTTTTCTGAGCTATATTGCTCTGGCCTCTCCATGATTGCACTGCATTTGTTTTATCAAATTTCCCATATTAAATGAATGTCAGATTGTGAAAACTTTGTGGATAGTTTGAGGTTTACTCATTTTGGTATTGTTAACACCTCTCTCAACAATTAAACGCACATTGGTCAACACAGGAAAATGTGAAGAACTTTAAAATAATGCTCCAAATAAGCCCTGGTATACCTAAAATTAATAATAACTGATGACAATAATACTATACTTTTATATATATTTTCACTATTAATAAAAATGTTTTTAAAAGTAATATCAATAAAGTAAGAAATCTTACCTAGACCATGTCGATGTGTTGACATCGGTGGTAAGACAGTCCAAGTCTTTGTTTTGGGATTGTAACATTCAACAGTGTTCAATGTCTTTAAGCCATCTCGACCTCCAATTACAAAGAGTTTGTCATCAATAACAGCCACACCAAACTGCAGTCTCCGGCCATTCATCATCCCTGCCTGGATCCACAAATTTGTTCTGAGGTTATATTTCTCTATGGTTGTAGCTCCTGATAAAACAAAATCACATAGTCACCATTTACTACTACAATATACAACTCGATCCAGTTGTACAAATTATTAGTAGAGTAAATTTAGGATGTGAAAATGCTCTTTTCATGTTCATTTTTCTTAAAGAAAACATGTCAGAAAAGCAAAGGGAGTAGTAATTTAATTACTACTACATTTTCTCTACCTGGTGGATACTTATGATCAAATAGACACAGATGTTCAGCTTTTTTGAATTACATATTGGTGTCATGCTAAAATACCAGTTAAATAGAATAATTTTGGGCATAATACAGTTCTAGCAGATTTTATGAAGTCCCTCTATCACTGTTTGCCATTTAAAAAGCATATCATAATCCTAGCCTGAAAAAAATTAACCTTTTTAATGCCTAAGCTATGCATATTATATGTAATTCTGAGAGTTAATTTAATAAACTATTTACCATGTTTCTCTTTAAATTTGTCTTATGCATTAAAAACAAAACTTTTAAAAGTCAATTTTAAAATATGCAAACAAATGTCAGTTATGCTTTTTTTGTTTTTTTAATCCTCACCTGAGGATATTTTTTCCATTGATTTTCAGAGTGAAAAGGAGGGAGGAAGAAGAGAGAGAGAGAGAAACATCAACTGAGATAGACACATCGATTGGTGTTTCTTGCACTTGCCCAGATTGAGGGGTGGGGGGTAAGGGTGGAGAGCAAACCTGCAATTCCCTTGACTGAGAATTACTGAATGCAGGCTGATGCTCTGACCACTGAGCAAAACCAACCATGGTGGTGTGATGCTTTTCTTTAATCTTTTAAAAACATGCATTTGGAGAATACTTCAATTGAATTTAGAGACACATGATGATCTATCTTTATCAATCATGTTATAATCTTTCCTAAAAGCTTTTTATGTATAGAGGCCTGATGCACAAAATTTGTGCAAGAGCAGGGCTTCCTTCCCCTGTCAGCTGGCATTGTAAAAATCTCATAATCATAACAAAACTTTTGTGTGCTTAATAAGCAATCAACATCTACATTTCTCCCTGCTGTAAATAGAATCCATTTATAAAATAATAATAGTCTGATACATAGCTATGTGTAGAGATATAAATGTAAGTATATCATTAAGCTTAATGCTGGATTTTGAAGTGGATGTATAAATCTCAAAATCCAGCATTATGTTTGGTTTAAACTAATTTAACTATATATATATATATACATATATATATATATATGTATATATATATATATATATGAATGCCTACTTCTCATTCAAAGCCATAATTTTAATTATTTGTATTTATTTGTAACAGTTCACCTTAATAACTAAAAATTATTACCTTTAAAATCTTAGAAAAATCAAATATTTAGGGAAGTTGGCAAATTAGATAAGCAAAATACAAAAATCAATCAATGTAAGGTTTTATAAAATGAAAATCACCTAGATCATATAAAGAACATAACTTATTTCAAATAGTCCACTAGAAGTAAATTATTTAAAAGTCAAAGCAGCAGGATAGTGACTAGTTCTAGATAAAGAAAAAAATTAAAGCTATTAAAATAAGTCAATTTGAATGAATGGGAAGAATCATACTAAATTTTAATAATATGACTTGTTATTTTATATGTGAAAATTATTTTCTTACATAATTACAATTAATAATGATATTTTGTACAGGCATTTATAAAATTATATTTGCATTTCTCTAGAAATTCAATTGTAAAATATTAGGAAATACATTTTTAAAAGCCAGACAATCTCTAAATATAAAGGAGTCTTGAGGAAAAGAAATGGCCTACTAAATATTTAAAAAAATATTGTATGCATATAGAGATTTTAAAAATTGCTTTATGATGAAGAATAATTACTATGTTAATGAATCTGAGAAGAATTCCAGAAAAAACTCTAATACATCTGTAATAATAGAAGTGTAATATGCTTATTAGACTGGACAGCCAAACGACCTTCCAGACATCCTTCTGGATGAAGCTGCAGCGGCGGGGGCCAAGTCAGAGGCGGTTAGGGGCAATCAGGTAGACAGGTGAGCAGTTAGGGGTGATCAGGCAGGCAGGCAGAGTGGTTAGGGGTGATGAGACAGGCGATCGGTTAGGAGCCAGTGGTCCTGGATTGTGAGAGGGATGTCTGACTGCTGGTTTAGGCCCGATCTTGCAGGATTGGGCCTAAACCAGCAGTAGGACATCCTAACCCAAGGGGTCCTGGATTGTGAGAGGGTGCAGGCTGGGCTGACTGCCGTAATAAATACGGCTGTTCCAATTAATGTAAAACATTTTATTACTCAAAAGAAGCAATGTTTAGATAGCTAGGTATCCTTTGGAAAGAAATGAATAAGTAAACTTGGACTCTGCCTATTCTTTACACCAGAATGACTTTAGCCGAACCAATAACTAAAGCACAACACACATGGCCACAGAACTCACCAAGTGTCTGGTTCTCTTTTCAGGGCTCCACATAAATAAACAGAGACAGCGATACTTTAAAAACAACCTGCTCTGGGTCATGCACTACTAAACCTTAAATGTCTTTGAAGATAAAAAGGAGGTGTTTAATTTTTACTTTGAGGTGGGAATAAAATCAAAGGCCCATGAGGGAGAGCCACAAGACCCAGAAATTATATTTATCTAAATATGTCACATACAAAATACACAAGCAAACAAAAAACCAAACAATCAAAAGGCTAAGAGCATTAACAACAAAATATTTTTATAAATATAACAAAAGATTGATTTCCCTGATACATAAAAAGTTTTTTTAATAAAACAAGAAATAAATATACAGATAATCTATAATAGAATTGTAGACTTGCCGAAACTGGTTTGGCTCAGTGGATAGAGCATCAGTCTGGGGACTGAAAGGTCCCAGGTTCGATTCCGGTCAAGGGCATGTACCTGGGTTGCGGGCACATCCCCAGTAGGAGATGTGCAGGAGGCAGCTGATCGGTGTTTCGCTCATCGATGTTTCTGACTCTCTGTCTCTCTCCCTTCCTCTCTGTAAAAAATCAATAAAATATATTTAAAAAAAATAGAATTGTAGACTTGAAACTTACATACTTTTATTAATCAATGTCACCCCAATAAATTAAATAATTATTTTTAAAAAGAGGTAAATTGGAAACATTAGATAGAAATAGGCTAATGACATGAGCAGGCAATTAATATGAAAGCTATGTTCATGACATGCAAACTTCAGAAATGTATTTATGCTTTCCTAACAATTAAATAATTCTAAAAAATTTCCAAAAGGGTTAGAAAATGTAACATTTTGATGTTGACATCAAAACCAGCTGGCTGCTCTGGCCAGTGTGGCTCACTTGTTGGAGTGTCTTCCCTTGCACACAAAGGTGATTGTTTGGATTCTAGGTCAGAGTTAGGGCACATACCCAGGTTGTGGGTTTAGTCTCTGGTTGGGGCAGGTAAGAGAAGCAATCATTTGATGTTTTTCATGTCTTTCTTTCTCTCTCCCTTTGTCTTTCTAAAAGAATCAGTAAATATATCCTCAGGTGAGGATTTAAAAAAGTAACAACAAAACAAAACAAATCACTGGATGACATTAAATTGATGCAACTTTCTGGGAGGTGTGAAGTGTGTGTGTGTGTGTGTGTGTGTGTGTGTGTGTGTGTGTGTTGTGTGTTTTAAAAATACATAGTAAATTTAGGAAATGGGGTACTTGACTTTTTTTTATTTTTAACTTCCTATTTTATATATTTTGCCATACATATGTCTTAGTGCTATAATTAAAATACTAATTTGTTATATTTAAAGACAGCTTTTGGTATTGCTAATAATGTCCTAAGAAATGGACTTTTTTGGAAAGGTAAGCTAAAGATGGTAGTGTTGTGATCATCATTACTTCCAACAAAGTGCTCATATCTATATACTAATATACAAAGTCTAAGCGACTGAACAACGGAACGACGGATCATCTGGTCAACCAGTCACTCTGATGTGCATTGACCACCAGGGGCAGATGCTCAATGCAGGAGCTTCCCCCTGGTGGTCAGTGAGCTTCAACAGCAAGAGTGCCGCTCAGTTGACCAACCTGTGAACCTGGCATCTGGTGTTCGTTGGTCAGCTGAGTGGTGCTCCCGCTGTGGGAGTGCACTGACCACCAGGGGGCAGCTCCTGCATTGACCGTCTGCCCCCTGGTGGTCAGTGTGCATCATAGCGACCAGTCAACTGGTCATTAGGTCATTCAGTCGCTTAGGCTTTTATATATATAGATATTTGTCCTATACATAAATACCTATGATAAAGTTTACTTATAAATTAGGTACAGTAAGAGATTAACAAAAATAACTAATGGTTAAATTGGACAATTATAACAATATATTGTGATGAAAGCTGTGCAAATGTGTCCCTTTCTCTCTCTCTCTCTCTGATAACCCATTTGATAATTTAGAAGGCTGTTAAGTGATTAATGGGTGGGTAGCAGAGTGCGGAGATGTAGGACTAAGGGTTGATTCATGTCCTGGGCAGGATGGAGGTACACGATTCCACCAGGCTACTCAGTACAGCATGCAATTTAGAACTTATGAAATGTTTAGTTATGGAATTTTTCATTTAATATTTTCAGAGCATGGTTGACCATAGGTAACTGAAACTGTGAAAGCAAAACTTTGGATAAGGGGGACATACTGTAGGTTATTAAAATAGCTTAGGTTCCAACAAACACTTTCCACATAATTATATTAGAATGTTTCTAGCTTTCATTAAAAATATGGGCACTGGTGAATGAAAGATTAAATGCCTATAATGATATTTGGGTTCTAGTTCTTAGTATTACTGACTGTATGGCAGAAATACAATCATTAAAATATCTTTTCATAAGTGTAGTAAAAGAACAAGAGTTCTCCACTTAAACTGTAAACTCCTGCAAAATACATGCTTGCCTTTTTCATAAACCAGCACCCACCTTTACCAAGATATATTAATTGAAGGCTCCTGGGATCTACTGATATTTAGTCATTTCAAGGTGAACGCTTAAATTAGTAACACAT